TAGTCTGTGTTGTATTAAATGAGTTGTGTAACTTTTGTGTTGTGCATTTTGTCCTCAGCTCTGCTAACAAGTGTCTGCTGAAGGTGGGGGCTTACTGTGCTCAGTTGGAGCAGTACCACAGGGCTATTGAGATCTACGAGCAGGTGTGCGCTACTTGTATTTGTCATGCTTGCACTTTCTCAGTCATCGCGGCGATGCTGACATTTCTAATACGGTTCTTTTTTTTAACGACGTGGATGTATCCAGGTTGGATCCAACACGATGGACAACCCGTTGCTGAAATACAGCGCCAAAGAGTATTTCTTCAAAGCCTCCCTGTGTCACTTCATCGTGGACGAGCTCAACGCTAAGGCGAGTTCATACCTTTCGTGGTTCAGTGTCTGGCTTTGGGACAGGGAGTCGTGTTAGGAGTTTAACACGCTGTGTCTCCACAGATTGCTATTGAAAAATATGAGGAGATGTTCCCGGCTTTCTCAGACTCTCGAGAATGCAAACTGTTGAAGGTAACTCAACGCTAAAAACTCTGAGGAATCTGATGGCTTACTTTCCCCCCCCCCCCCCCTTTTAATCTGCTCTATGAGTAACCTACTTTTTGTCTTAACAGAAACTTCTTGATGCTCATGAGGAACAGAACAGCGAAGCTTTCACAGAGGCAGTAAGTCTTGTGTACCTTAAGAAAGTTTTTAAATGGGCACAGGAAGTCCCTCGGCTTCAGCTCCTGTAGTTTCGTTGGATCCCTCGTGTGTTGAAGACAGTTGAAAGCTGGATCTCAGGTATCCGCTCAGTCTCCCAGGACGCTGTGTTTATATGGAACTGGTGCAGACGGATGGAGTGCATCCGTATTTAGCTGAGCTCCTGAAAGACTTTCCAAAGTCAGAGAGTGAAGAGTCCTCATCGACGGTGTGTTACACACAGAGCGATTTCCATGCCAGAGGTTTGAAATGTGTGGCTTTTAACAGGTGTTAGTTTAATGAAATTCAGTGCTGCTGGTAGAAAATTAACGGATCGTCATGTTGTGTAATTTAATCAGAAATTATCCAGTAATGTGTAATGAATTCAAGACCCAACATTGACTTTATCTTGTTTCAAATAACATCATTACAGATGGTAGTGATGTTATTTGATCAATCTCAGCTTCGTTTGCTAATATATAAATTAAAATCACTAACAGCGATGGTGGTGAGGGAGCATCCCTCCCTCCAAATGATATTTAAGACTTAAATTAAATGACTGCCAACCCCTCCCTTGTCCTGTGTTCAGAATACCAACTTCAGGTTCAATTTAAATACAGGAGAAGATGCCCGAATAGAAATAAAAACTCTTTCATCCCTCTAACAGCAAATCTCCTAAACTCATGACGTATTTTAATGCACTTTACGGTCGCATTTGATGTCTGTTACTGCTCTATAATTCTATGGATTCTATTTATGTGGCAGCCTTCATGTCCACGCTTCCCTCGGGATAAATACAGTAATAATGAATCTTTAAATTCAGATAAGTGGGCAGAAACTTCCAATCGTAAAGCTAATTTGTGTGGGAAGAAAAAAGAGCTTATCTCCGTGTCCTTTTGTCCACCTGCAGGTGAAGGAGTTCGACTCGATCTCACGTCTGGACCAGTGGCACACGGCCCTCCTGCTGCGCATCAAGAAGACCATCCAGGGCGATGAAGGGGATTTAAAATGAAAGATCGCAGGGTCACAAACACAGCATGGAGGGACAAACCCATCACGCATGCTTACACACACACACACACACACACACACACACACACACACACACACACTCAGCTCACTGTGTATAGCATCTGGAGATGAGTGTCTGCTGATGACTTTGAATATTCCACTGCTCACTGCTATACTGTCAGAGTACTATCTTTGCTTTCCTTACGAGCATATCTGAATCTAGTCAGAATGTGAATCCTCTCGCCCTCACCTCTGTCTGGAGGATTGCTGCATACCTTCTTCTGCTGAAGTCTGTCCTGGGGGATTTCAGAGCCGATGTTAGTATCGACAACAAGCACTGCATGTTTTGTACAATTATTGTTTTCCTTAGTCGGATGCAGTTAGGTGTTTTTATTTTTTAAATCTAGTTTAATAGACATTTAACCCGTTTTATTTAAATGTTTCAGTCTGTTCTACATCAGAGCATCATGGTGTGTATGGATTTCAAGAATGTACCTTTGTATTTGTTTTGCTGTTAGTCGGAGTAGGAGGGAAGGGCTCAAGTCCACATCATGATTGTTCTTAGAGCTCAAGTCATTACAGCCACGCAGGAAGGTTTAAGTTTCCATCTGATCACCGGTGGGGAGAGACTCTTCTGGAAGAAGGGCAAAGATATGCACCAAGTGTAGACTGTTAAACATGTGTATCCCTCACACACACACACACACACACGCATTCAAACTTACACTCACTTTAGGATTCATTGATGTAATAATACTTTGAATGTGTGAGCCTGTAAGGTGTGATTTATAGTTTGCCTGTGAGGGAGTATTTTTGAGTGAAAAGCACTGACATGGAAACCTGTGCTGCTTATTTCCAGGGCAGTGATCTTGGGGTAACGGGCATCATTAGTCACTCATCTCGTGCCGTGTCGTGAACGTATCATTGAAGGTTTAACTACTGCAGTACGCCTTCCTAATGGCCAGTCGCTAAGCATGTCATTGTGTATAGATTAGCGTTGTTACATTCACTAGTGTGAGCCAGACCAAAGTTTTTACTAAAGGGTCCGTCACCCTGCGTATCCAGCTTCTTCCTGATGGAATGACAGTGGATATGATCTGTATGCTAGTGCGAATGGACAATAATAAAGATATTATATTCCCGGCTCTGCTCTCCTGCCTTTGACCGTACCTATCAAACAGCAATGTTATATTTAATAAGCTTTTACTATCTTCACCAGAATGTCGTGAGGGACTTCTTACTTTGAGTCTGATTGGTAAAAAAAATGGGTACAAAAACCTCAATATTTAGCTTGTCACGTGTTTGTCTCTTATTGTAGGAGTGGAAAATGAGATGGGTAAGAAAGTGACTACTTCAATAATTAGTATTTTAAGTTTTAAATGTATTTGAAGGTGAATGTATTACTAATAGATACAATATTAGTTGTATTGATCTTTCATTCGCTGCTGTAAATCTGCCTCCCTGTCACACAGCAACCCGACACTTAAACATGAGCGTTTGATTGGAGGACATGGTTTGGATCAATCAGATAAATCCCTCCGTCTACTCTGTGACCATGTCCTTACACAAGTGATCTAATGTCGACATTATGTTTAGTGAGCATTTCCTCTCGCGCTCTCACGCCGCTATTGACCGGAGTAGCATCACCCTTCACTCTCAGCAAGTGTGCATTTGTTTGATGGTAACTAATTAAGATTTTGGATATGGTTCCCAAAGACAGATGGTGTAAGAATCTTTTAAGGATTTACACAACTTCATTTACATCCAGAGTTGCAAAGAGTATGCCGGTATTATTCCAAAGGTGTAGTGAAAGGTGCTTGAAGATCCACTGAGGTGCAGCTGCCAAAAGTTCCCAGAGCATCCTACTGAACATGGAGCTCCTGCAACACTTATTCTGAGGGGAACAGATGTCTGCTATTAGTGAGATTGGTAAAATAACATTTGTGTTCACTATGATGTGTGCCACATTTCACCCTATGAATTTGAAGAAAATGAATCACACCAATACCGTAATCATATTTTAGTTTTATCACATAAAACAAAAATAATGCATGGATTTTTAATGCACACCTTCCCGTTCCAAAAGAGTGTGAGAAATACTGGACTTTTGATCATAGTACTGATGAAACACCACGTGGTCAGACCACACATTCACACACACTGCTAATGCCAAAGTATATATAACATGAAGAGCTGCGTTGAAATAGGATTTTAAATCCAAACTCAGATTAAATTATCTCTGTTCACATGCATTTTCTACGCCGCATCTCGAGCTGAGGCCCCTTTAGGCTCGCCTAAATCATCTGCTGTCCTCTGCTCTCCATCACTTGGGACGGCAGCTGTTCGTTCTGTTCCACAAACCTCGTCGCCGACAATCACAGTCTGAATATCCGGCTGCAGAACAGAAGCTGTCTTAGTCTCTGCAACTAGAGCCAAAATGGTCTGTGAGGCAGCGGCTTCCAGGACGGACGACGTGGAAACGATTTGGATCTCGGAGACCGACGACAACTTGCCGTCGGAAACAGGAAGAGAGAGAGTGGGTAAAGAGAGCGAGGTGGAGGAACCTTCGGAGCACAAGGGGATAGTGTGAGCCAAGGACACCGGTATCGAGAAGGGGACGGGGATGGCCGATCCATCCAAGGAGATGACGCTGGCCCCGGTGCTGTCGGTGGTCACGATGGGCTGGATCTGGGTCCCGAGTGGCATCTCAGTGTGGTAGACGGTGATCCCGCTGAGGGCGCCGTGGCTGACCAGAGCAATGGCCCCCTGACTGGTCCATTCAGAAGGTAGGGTGACTGGTTCAGACTGCACCAAGGAGTTAGTGTGGGTTTTATCAGGCCCGTCAGCAGTACCAGCAGCAGTACCAGTGGCACTTCTTCTAGCCGTGCTCTTTCTCTCCCTCCCTCGTGCTTTTTCTGTCTTTCCCTTAGTTGGAGTTTTGGGTTTCTTGTCTTCCACATTTCCCTCCAGCACCACAAGGTAGGTTTTCCAGGGAGCATCTGAGTCATGAATCTGAGTGTTTAAAAAAAGAGCTCATGTCACTTTCACTGCAGTCTGGTGGGTCAAAGCACTTTCAACACAACATATCAGGTGATGCCCTGAACAATATCCCCTATTTCATCTGGTTAACTTACTCTTTGCTGTCGTCAAACACCCTATCTGATAGTTAGAGAAGCACTGCTCACCATAGTGTGCCTGCGGAGGGTGGACTTGTCTGTAAAGGTGCGTCTACAGAGACCACACATGTATGGCTTCTCTCCCGTGTGAATGCGCTGGTGCCTCTGCAGGGCGTTGAGCTGGGTGAAGTGCTTGTCGCAGTCTTTACAGCTGTACGGACGCTCGCCTGTCAATCAACGGAGAGGGGGCAATCACACACGGCGCGTAGACGGAGAACAGCAAGAGAAGGGCAACAACAAACTGGTTTTGTCAGCTACGACTCCACATTAACAAGAACTCATGTGTCAACAATTACCCGTGTGTGTCTTTAAATGCTGGTGGAGGGAATTCCTCTGAGCGAAGCCTCGGCCACACTGCTCGCACTTGTATGGCTTGGACCCGGTGTGGATGTTTGAGTGGTGCCTCAGGTATTCTTTAGATGCAAAGCTTTTCCCGCAGGCCTCACACATGAAGGGCCTCTCACCTAAAAGGAGCAAAAAAATATATCTTTTCAGCTTTGGTCTGGTGTGTACAGAGAGACTTATAAAACCCTTTTAACCCGTTAAAGTCTCCAGTCAAAACGTAAGATGATGAGGACATCCAAATGGTTTTGAAATGATAGCACCCTTACCTGTGTGTGAGCGCTTATGATAGGCCAACATGTGCTTCTGAGTGAAGCGGGCTTCGCACTCGTCACATGCAAATGGCTTCTCTCCTGTGTGAGTCCTACACATAGTAAAACAGACAAGTTCATCTATTGTACACATATACACATGTTATTAGTATGTTCCTTCTAGATATGAGGATTAAACGGACAGGAACCAAAGGGAACATCTAACTGGAGTTTCTCTGGCAATGTCAAAGGTGTTTGTCAAAAGGAGGCTAAACTTACATTCTTCCTCGCTTACCCACAAATTAAAACCTGTCACCTATTCAGTACTGATCCCGCCCGTCTTTAGCAAACCTCCCACTCCGGTTCACCGTAGTTGTGACCGAGCCATCTTCACTGAGCTCCGTACCTGCGGTGCATCTTCAGGGCAGAGTTCTGGGAAAATCTGGCCGCGCAGTCGGTGCACTCGAAAGGCTTCGCACCCGTGTGTGTCCTCTCGTGCAACAACAGGGCGGTTTTGGAGCTGAGCGCCTTTCCACAGTCGGGGCAGACGTGTCGCAGGTTGTTGCGTTCATGCACCTGAGACAGAAATGAGCAAATCGGGGGGAAAACAAGCAGACAAATGTGACTCTTTGTAAGTTATCATCACTGTAACAGTAATACTGCACATGACTTCTAGATATAGTAAAGTTTGTGGAATTTACTTAATCTTCACCTGTCTTTGATGGCGGACAACATCCTTCTTTCGTTTGAAGGTCTTTGCACAGATTTCGCAGGCAAACAGCCTCTCGCTGCTGTGGACGTGCTTTTCATGGATCTTCAGATTGCTGCGGTTAGCGAAGGTCTGCTGGCAGGTCTCACAGCGGTAGATGATGTCCGCTTTCACTCCGTGGTACGTACTGGTGAAGAGAGCGGTGACAGGTTACAGCAGTATCAGAGGACAAACGGCCCTTTCTTTGGTTTATTGATAGGAGTCATTGATAGCTCAAGCTTTAGAGGAGAATTTGCCCGAAACAATGCATGGCCAATGCCTGGAATACAAGATTTAGCTCAGGAACTTTAGGTTGTCTATGCTATCACTCAATAAATTAAGCCCTGTCCGAGCACGTACATGTCCTACCTGATGTGCTTCAAGTAGCTTCTCTCATAGTGGAAGGTCCTTTGGCACTTGTTACACTGGAACTGGGCCTTGGAGGTACTTTTTGGTGTCTTCTTGGACTGTCCCTCATTGTCGTCGTCGTCGTCGTCGTCATCCTGCTCCTCCTCCTCCTCCTCCTCTTCCTCTTCCTCCCCCAGAGATAAAAATAAGGAGTCTTCGGCATCACTACTCTGCACATCGTCCTCACATTCCCAATCATCCACATCAGAGACTGGCACTGCAAATGAAGACACGTGTCTTTTCTCTGCCAGAGCCTCCGTGTCAGTCCTGTCCTCCGTCTCGTCTGTGTCTTCATTGGTGACTTGGTTTTCATTGCAATGGTTAGCCTCTCTTTTAGTATTCAAACGCCTCTGAAGGACTTTACGGCCAGCCACCCTCGGTTTTAGGGTTCGTCCTTGTCGTTTTTCATCCTTCGCTGCGCTCTTTGCCTTTAATTTTTTGGGAATTACTTCTTTCTCAGAGCTCTGTGGAGAGAGCCGCCGCTTAAGACCTACGTTTTTGGGCTGCTTCTTCCCTCGGGTCCTTTTTTCACCTTCACTTGCAACTTTTGGTGCACATTTTTTCTTTGTAGTCTTTGGTAGGATTCCAGCACTCATGGCCTCAGCACAAACCTCCGACAGATCCTCACAGTCCAAAAGTTGTGCGAGTGCTTGAACGTCGCCAACCTTGTCTCTGACCACTTCGACTTTACCGGTGTACACAAATTCCAAAAACTTGGAGAAGTCACTGGAGTGCATATTGGAGAGCAACACTTTGTCTCGGGTAGCATCCTCAGAGAGCAGGATCTTCTTGAAGTAGCCGCTGGATGCTGCGAGCATCAACTGATGGGCCTGAAACTCCTTCATATCTCCCTGGTAGTCTACCTGCACGGTTACATCGTTTAGCTGTCCCTGCAGCCTCAGCTGGTGCAGGGAGGACAGGATGTTTTCATGGTGGGACTTAGAGGTGAGCTGGACCACTTTGACCTCCATAATTCATTTGTGCTGCTGGGAAAACAAGGGGGTCGGGGGGGCTTTTAATGGTCCACTAACTAGTTTTCAACACATTTAAACAAAACACATGTACATCCTTTCTCAAAGGTTTTAATCACAACCTATATTTTGAAGAAGCCCCAGTTTGTAGGTTTCATGTATCATCATCACTGGGGCTACTTTTAGAGCAGTGGACGTTGCATAACTGTTATAGATCTATAACACCTGCTTAGAAGTCAATTGCCTTGCTCAAATGTAAAAAGTGAAGCTAACTCCAATTCGTTAAAATAATTCGCCTCTCTGGCATAAGGTACAGGTGAAAAACCTCAACCCCCCCTCACTATCTAAAGTGATGTTTTTGTGCTTTTACATTAATAATGCTCAGTGCTAGGCTGTGATATTGCTAACAGTAGCACAAGGGTAAACAAGCTAGGTTAGCTAACGTCAGCTGTCAACACGAAACTAACGTGGGTGGATATGCAATTATACAAGTTCAACGTACAGCACGCAGAGCTCACTAAGCTAGCCGGCTTACTAAACTAGCTAGCTACGCAACAACACGAAGCAGGTTTTTCTTACCGTAAGGTCGGTAAAATGGCAGCCCTTCACAAATGCTCTCCACAGCGGAAGGTATTTCCTGTAGAAATCACTCCCGAAAAACGGCACTCGGCGACATCCGGTGCCGAAGTGACTGACTCGGTGTCAGTCCTCTGTTTTTGGTCACGTCTAAAGTAAAACACAATTGCTGGTCCTGGGTCAGTTTAGTTTTAGTTTAAAAACGGTATCCCCTGTTAAAATAGTGCCTTTGATAATAAAGTAAACGTTTGAGTCTTTACGGTGAAGCTAGTTTAACTAGCTAGCACTTGATTTTGCCTAATTTATTTCCACAATACTATCAGTTCCACCAACCGTTATTTAACCGTTGAGCAATAATGGCTTGCACGTCTATCGTGACACGTAATGATGTAATTAGGATTTTATTTCAAGAAAAAACTCAGTTTCACCTCCTTTATCAAGCTCAAAGGAAGCACCTAAAGTTGTATTGTGAACATGTTAAACAGGGTACATGTATATAGCCACCTTTGCATTATTTTTTAAATTTAAATCGTGGTTTTCTAATGTAATGGCGTTACCGTAACTCTAGCACTAGTGTTTATGTCTGCCTCGCCACCGCAAGGGGGCGCCATTGTACAGAGGGATTAACATGTAAACAGCTAGTGGTGATTTAAAAAACAGATTAACATGCATCTTTAACACCCATATTTGCATTTTTTCCAGCATGATCATTTTCTACTCTCATTCCAGCTGGTACTCATTATGTATGAAACCAGCTGCTTTAGTAACTACCTATTGTATGTAGTAAGGTCTGTTGTAGTTGTATCAGAGTGGTTCCAAAAATATTTTAAAGAAAAATAGGCCAACACGGTGAAGGATTTAAGCTAATTCATTTACATTCAGACCAGCATAAATCATCAACATAGTTTCAAAAAGCATGCTGTCATTCCAAAGGTGTGTGGAAAGCTACTTGAGGATTCACTGGGGTGCTGTTCTGCGGCTGCCAAGGTTTCTTTTTCCTTTTTTTTTTTCCTTTCAGAGGAAATCCATATACCTTACATTTGTCTTAATGAATTCTGCAAGCTAGCACTCTGCTCTGTTCCGGTGACTCATGCTGCTCTCTGGGCCGAAAGCTGTGCAGACTTCAGCTCTGACCTGGAACACTGTGTTCGCCTGGCTTTCAATACAGTGCTCCTCTGCCACACACACACACACACACACACACACACACATGCACACATGCACACACAAACAATACCATATTTTAAAGATAACCCTTTTCATAAAACCGGTCCTTCCTGGTTGATCTTGATATCAAAGACACAACATCTGCAGATGTAATGATCTGTAACTTGTATGCTCATAGGAATCATCAAGTATTTGCATAGATATTAATATGATGTAAATTATTACCATGCAAATAAGCCTAGAGTTTAATGGAATACTGGATTACTATATGCAAATTAATGAGACAAGTCATACAAATTGATTCTCAGTATGTTGCCATTAATATAACTTCTGATATGACTGAAGTTAGAGGAAGGAAAACATTTTTCACTTTAGACACAGTAGTGCAGAAGTTTTTTTTTCATTTCTGAATAAAGGACTCTATAAAAGTTGGCTCATAGAAACTGCTTTACCAAAATGATAAAAAGCTTCATTCATCATTGCAGTTATGACCTCCTTGGGTCAAATTTAAAATGTTCCCTCACCGCATACTGTACCGTGACATATAAAAAGTTCAGCGGGGTCTGGCTCTGACTAATGTCAATGGCAAATATTAAACCCCAGTCGTGGTTTGTGTTGTCACATGATGCTTTGTCAGAGTGAAGATATGGCAGAGAAACAGATGTGAGGTTGCGACATGTCATCCCCGGCTGACATGTGTAATCAAGGGGATGAACGTATGCTGCATCACTGAAATAACAAAAGGTCAAAGTCATTTCAGAAACATGCCTGTTTTAATCTACTTTCAGCGGTGATACTGGTTGGTTGACTTTTCAAAATGACTGCGGGGCATTTCGTGTTTTTCAGAAGTTCAGCCGGGGAGAATGAACGTGGATCTCGAAGTCGACTGCAGTCGAGATGATGCCAGTACATGGCGCGCTTGATAGCCAGGTTGTCTGGTAACAAATTCAATTCCCGTGGATACATCATCACGTTGTCAGCGAAGAAGAAGAAACTCAAATGCTCAGCTGAAAAGGTGATGCCCTCAGCAAACATAACATTCTGCCCTGTTTGCTGTGCTATGGGTAGACTCCTCCACACGACCGAAAATACCCGTGCTGACGTTCCACAGCGCACAAACAACATGACAAAACCTTGCACTGTGTGAGAGGAAAAGTTAAACTCTAAACCCAAGGCCGGTTTTAATTTGAGGCTACAGAGCACACACACGCACACACACGGCAAAGAAAACAAGAGTTTTGTGGCGACGGTTGTGTCCAGGCTCGGTTTGTGTGCTGGAGTCGCACAAACACTGTAATTTGGATGCAGCGAGGGGCAGGTTAGTCAGTCGGTGTCCTTGCGTGACCTCTTCACGGCTCCTCAAGAGGGCTGACTCATAATCCCAGCAGATGAACAGAACCAGTGATGGTAAACACTACAACATCACAGTACATGGAAGAGCAGACAGTGGCGGTCCAAGAATAACCGCAGCATTCCCTTTGTGCTCGCACATAGAACCTCAGAGCTGATGCCAGACCGATCACAAACCAGTCCAACTCAGTATTCTGTGGTGTCTTTCTCTTCCCCTCCAGTCAGTGAACGTGGTCATGAACATCTTTCATGAATTTAGTTGCTCTTAATTCTTTCAACAGGAATCTGCACTGTTGTTGTTTTTTTTATCAATGGCATGTTCCTACGTTGACACTAGGATGCACTTTATTGATTTTATGCAGATTTGGAGAGTGGTTTTAGTTGTTCTGGTTAATGGACATGAATCTCCACCCATGTTTATGTGATGTAGAAATTGGACAGCAGTCAAATATTGTACATGTTTGTGCTGTCCTGTCAAGGCCAAGGTTGCCGTGCCAGGATACACACAGCACTGGTCTCTGGTAGTCTCTCCTAACACTTCAACCTAACTCTTCTTTCCCCTTTTCTCTTTTCCGCTTTGGCCGGATGCCACACCACATTGAGTCAGTCCAGAATACCACTGGAACCCCTAAAACCTCAATGTGACATGAGGATATAAGAGAAAAACCAATGATTCACAAAAAATTGCAGCATAATCCTAGGACCATAATGTGGAAATTCTCTTTGGTTGATGAGAAATTGCAGTAATTGCAGACGGTCACACACACAACCAAATATATGAAAAAATGCAGCTGCCCTAGCATGTTTGGTTACAGATGATGATGTTGTCCAGAGGATTCATCTGAATGACGTTGGTGATTTTCTGACTTCTTGTCTCACGCCACCATCAGGTTATGACAAAGTACTTGCAAAACCGATTAGCAAATGTCACCGTGCTAACATGCTAAACAAAATGGCGACAATGGTAAACGCTCAGCATGTTAGCATTGTGGGTTTTTGGAACACGTTAGCGTGCTAACATTCGCACTGCCTCGCGGAGCAGCCAAGATGTGCTGTCGACTCCAAGCTTCACTTCACTTTCAGTGTACTGTAACAAACAACTCCACCTCCATGAAAATAAATATAGTGCAAGAATAACGTGAGAATGGTATCCGTCCTCAGGCTCCATTTCACCAAACTGAGTTTGGTTTTTTTCTTTCTCTTCTGGTTCGGAAAATACTTTCCTTTCATTGATGAAAAGATATACGGCATTCAGAGATGAAATTACTTTCCAAATGGCCTCTGACTCACCATCTCTATTCCCAGTGCTCTGTCGCTCTGCCCCCCTCTTCCTCCCTCACCCACTCTCCCCACCTTCACTCGTCCTTGTGCATGTTCTATCTATTGTAACCGTATACAGCACTTAGCACTTCAGACACAGAGAAACCAGCTCAAGGACGACCGCCCACTCTTGTGATGCTCATAAATAGACTATTTGTTCGGGCTTACCAATCACCTTACCCACCGAGCCTGTGTGGGTGCTTGTGGACGTTGTGTAGCTCGCACCGAAATAGATCTCCACTGCTGCGGGCGTGAGGGTGGATTTGGGCCTCCAGCCTGCAGTGAGAGAGAGAGAGACACCGGTTCACGCTGTGCAAAAGGATTGTTGTGTGTTTGAAAAATTAACAATGGTGACTCACAAAGTCTATCCCTTTATAACGTGTGAGTTTCATCACCCTCTTTGCAATCTGTAGCACACTGAAACAGGTGGTCTCACCTCCGCAGAGCCTCCCAGAATGCAATCCTCTTCCCAGACTGTGTGGGACATGACCGTCAGCACATTCCTGGAGAGCTGGATCCTCAGGAGCAACAATTCCTCCGTCCTCTCTTCCCTCCCTTCCTTCCTGCCGCCCTCGTGTCCTCTCCTTCGCTTCCGCGGATTGCATCACTCGTCTGCCTCCTGGCCTCCTCTGCTCGGACCCTTTAATCACATGTGGCACACACACACACACACACACACACACACACACACACACACACACACGCGCACACACAAAAGTAACTGTGTGCACACCACAGACACACAAATGCAGACACACATGCACACACAAAAGTAACTGTGTGCACACCACAGACACACACCAATGCAGACACACACGCACACCCATTGTGGGCAGAAGGCACCCTCGTCTGTCCTCATACTGGTTTTGTGGCTTCAGTTGGAATTTTATGGTTGGTTTGAGCGGAGGATTCTGGAGGCTTTCCAGCTGCCCTCCAAAGACTTGGCTCCTCTCTTTCTTTCCCTCCATGTCTTTGTTCCTTCCTTTCCTCTCTTTTTTCCTTTCCTCCTCTCTTCCCCCTCCCCCCCTCTCTGCTTTACCCGCTCGCCCTCAAGGTCAGAAATATCCTGTGGTTTAGGTTTGATCCCCTCGGATATGCCTTCGCTCGCTCCCTCTTTCTGTCTCCCCCTTCCTTTCTGTCTCGCTCGTGCTCACACACACACACACACACATACACACACACACACACACTCACACACTTACTGTAAGCACACCGCACTACTCTAAGCATTCCCATACAGGAAACACATGCTGGGATCAGCATAGGCGGGTCTGTATGTCTTGTAACTGCACACACGACACACACACCCACACACACACTCCCACCAGGGGTCAACAGTCTATCCGAACCCATCCCAACACGTAACATTCAGAAAGAAGCAAAGTCGCCACAGTTCTCTGAGCCGAAGTTGTCATCACTTGAAGACGTCGTCCATCTTAAATGTTTCAGTGACAGTAAACAAGTGATCCTCTTCCCATGGAGTCACAGTAGACTCTAACCATGAGTCCGCAGCCATGTTAGCCCTGTCCCCCTGAGTTCACCTATTCTCCGAGTTGTGCAACCTGGCAGAGGTCTAGCACTTGCGTAATAACAGGGGCCTGAAAGAACGCCAGTTCAACCAGTCATCCTTTCATGTCCGCGGGTGGATGGAGGAACGCAAAGTCTTGCCTAATTAAAGCTCTGATCCTCAAATCTCTCGAGTATGAGCATCCGTCATGGTCATACAGATGATGAGAAAATAACTCTCCAAAACTTTGGATCTTGCTGTAAGGCAGTTTTCTTCCCATTAAAAGTGTATTTTTTTTGGATCTCCATGTGCATAACACTGACATAGAGAGAGCTAAATACTGACCTTGGATCTGTGTAAAAGCCATTCAGACGTTTACTCTTCACAGAGGGATTTCCTGAACCTCTCATTTTTGGCCTTGAGCTGAGTCAATCACTTGCATGGACAGGAGTTTTGACAGGGATTGCCATAGCGCTGTGTCCGATTGACGACTCGCCCAGTAAAATAAACCCCAAATAGTTCTCGAGAAACACTGCACCCCGCTGCTCGGTTTCAGCTTGTTGACACAACGGCTCGAGACGGATCGTTTTTCAAACACGCAACCGGTTGTCAAATACACAGTGTTAAATTAACTCTGGGGTTGCCTCCCAAAGGTCTGTGCTCTCCCGACTGCATTTGTCCATTTTCCTTGGGTAGCCTCCCAGAAGTGGAGGAGACCACAGACATTAAAATACACACGTAAAATGAAGCCCAACCATACGGCCAACTGGCTCAAACCATGCCGGCCTGTAGATGGCTGAACAGTTTTTTGAAAATTATTATTTCTATGCTGTTGTTTTAAAAACACAATGCAATACAATTCCTGTACTGGGTGATGAAATGAGGCAGGTGTTTGCTGTACAGTTTCTGAGAATACAAGATCTTCAATGCCGACCTATTCCCTTTTGACTTGCAACAAAATCACGGTAATCCCAAGAAACACAGCTTTGCCGTAAAAAGCCACCATTTTTCTCTTTGTCATGAACTTCGCTCTCCTTCAACATCCTTTTGAAAATGTCCAAAAATGGAGACGAGAGAGGAAAAAGAGCATGGGGGGAAGGGGGGGAGGATCTGACAGGCTGCTCCAGCGCTGAGACCCATGACTGACACATTTACTGCGGAACAAGACATCTATGTCAGTGTGTGAGGGAGATAGACATGGAGTGAGCGGACAAGATAGAAATAATGCCCTCTCTGACACACACACACACACACACACACACACACACACACACACACACACACACACACACAGACAAATGTTAGCAGAGAGTGTCTCTTTCTGTTGGCTGAGTGAAGTCACAGGACTGAAGCTCCAGCTCACTAATTTCATTCCATCTGTGCTGGTGAGGAGCTCTGCAGGGGCACAGGCATCTCTGCAGGACTGCCATCTCTTTATGCCCCGACTTTGGGCCTCTCTACAGACACCAATGTGTCACGTTTTCCGTAATGAGCTCTCATTTGATCTGCTGCCATTGAAATGGCCTTCCGTCCAGACAACTGTCAGTGTTTATCCGTATTATGAAGATAAGGGGGCCATCTTCTGTGGTTCGGCGGTGTCAGATGAGTGGAGTGTGGAGGAGATTGTCAGAGAAAAGGAGAATGATTCATTGTGTTGCTCTATAATTGAATGATCCAGCATTCATCGTGGGCATGATGGTGAGATCATCTCCCACCATTAGGCCTCGGAGCTGGACTACAGTTGTGCACACACATTTAAAGGGCCATATTACAGGTTGCACATATGTTAGCGTATTAGCTACGATTAGCAAATTCTTCACATAAGGCCTTTACATACCGGGAGCATGACTAATAAACTATACAACAACGCGAAATACTCGCCTGCATCAAAACTATTCATACCGGCAGCAATGCAAATTTGTGACAGTTGCAACACTTTTCATTAAAAGGTTCAATATTCAACCATGCATAGCACCAACTACCAGCATCCTATTGACCCAGAGTCAATAGGATGTCTTAGCTAAATTGTTGTGTAGCCTAAGCTACTATGAGCTATTTATTGAGTTTCCTTTTAGCGAAACGCTCTGAGTGAATTTTCCTCTGGTAAACAGTTACGCAGTTTTAGGGCTTTTATTGTGAAAGGTAAGAACGGAAGGAGTGGATCTGGTCTGCGCTGCTTTTGTCAGGATTGAAAGGAATAATGAAGTCTGCCATCTTGGTTTGGACTACGTATTGTTGTACACTACCCATTCTGCACAACGTGATTGGTTAATGCCTTTACTTGTGGGACGAAGGGTTAGAAAATCAATCGCACTAAACATTTTATTTACTCTTCTGTCTTTATGTTTTTGTCAATGTTACTTGAACTTTCCTTGACGACGCGTTCAGGAACTTGAGATTTGAGAGGTGGCATGAACCTTTGAGGACAATTCATGTTTTCCCTTTGCTCGTCTTCTTGTTTTGAGCTTTGCAGGTGTCAATTATGTTGCACCAAGTCTCGACGTCTCCCCTGCATTGCAATAACTTTCATCACTATTTTAATGGAGTACCAATCCCAAGCAGGTTTCAGCGAATGATACCCTTTGAAAAATGTAGACATATACACTTAAATAAATAATGTAAGTCTTGCACGATTCATCTATAGATAAAGGGGTACAGCTGCAGTTTGGTATTGCACTTCAATAAAGTTGGGGGATTTGTGAGAGCCAACATTAAGAAAGGAAACGTCAAAATCGCTGACATAAAAATCCTGAAATGTATTAGTAGTCCCTAGAAGGGAGTACGGGTCAAGCTAAAAAATGCTAAATCCTACAATTCCCATAATGCACCTACCAATACTACAGTTTGGTCAGTGCTCCTCAGCATCTGACACCGACACATGGAGGCTCCCTTTAGTGTCTGCATGTGACATAGTCCATTCAAGAAACTGCTCTACGAGTCCTGTGGGAAAGTAAAAGTAAACATAGACATTTTGTCACGTCAATCGTTAATCTCGTGATTAGTTTATCGCGTGATTAGTCACTTGCTAGTTGCGCGAGTAGTTTAGTCAGTGAAGTTAACACTCTTTTCCTTAACCTAGCTAAGCGGCGTTGTTGCCTAAACCTAAACTTCCCATGAAGACGGATGTTTATTTTACGAGCGTATATTGAAGACACTGTGCACGTTCAAAAATGACACTAGAGGGGAACATAGGATGTCATAGTTTGAAGCTGACCAGGCTGCGATGATGCAGGCTTTCCGTTGTAAATTTGTAGTCTCAAACCGAATCCCAGATCACCCTGATGACATCACTGTGGTACATTTTTCAGACTTTACGAAGCTCCTTCAGATCCACAGAAGAAATCATCCAACTGTTTTCATAGGCTGAGCTGTATTCTTCATGACGAGTTAAATAATATTCATGTGTAAAATCAATAGAGCGACCCTTTAATATTTCCTTAATTGGTCTTAAAGATGCAAATTAGCCTATATGGTCAGTAAATGGCTGAGGTAAATAAAATAATGTTTTGTTGGGAGCCGTCGACATGAAAATGCTCCCAATCTCGATATCTTTAATGGTCTAATTCTTCATTTTTAATTACAATTTAAGCTAAATTCGCACATTCATCTTCGCCGTAATACTCTACCTTGTACCTTGTACATCCGTGATGCAAATAACTGTTAACAGCGCCAGAAAACATTAATTAACTTAGATTAATGTGTTGCCTGGGGGTTAGTCTGTGTGTTCAATCATTGTGAGGGCAGTTTGCTATTATTTGGTTTATTTTTTAAACAACAGATGATACCCTTTAAGGGCCATGCGTGGTCATGATGGAGTGCGGTGACGAAGGTTCTTTGTGAGAGACACAAGATTAGAGGAGGTGCTTGACCTCCCTTAAGAAGCCATCTGTATACTGTTTGTGCCCACAGCACAGCACAGACTGTCCCCGATGTTGACAACACAGATACTAATACTCTCAGAGCTTCGTAGATTAACACTGAGATGAGAACTCTGCTGCACTGCTGCAGATATTTTAAGCATCCTGTCGGATTTGCCTTCACGCCTGTCCTGCGTTCACTTTGGTATATTGTCGAGCATCCTTTTGCTCATCACGACAAACG